CACACACACACACACACACACACACACGTACAAAACTGGTCCAAGCGCATACCGTGAGACATCCATAAACGAAAAGACATGCTAAGACACGGACATAAAAATACACATATTTACAAATTACAATAGCAATAGCAGATTCCTCATATGAATGTGCATGTTTTGAAAACGTGAAAGCATAAAACAGAGATAGGAATGGTAATTTGTGAAAGGAAGAAATAACGTAGGATGCACACAAAAACGGAAAAAAAACGAACAGAAAAAATAACGAAGGCGCACACTAAAAAAGAACAAACAAAAAAAAAAAGAAAGAGAAAGAAAGAAAGAAAAAAAGAGTGAAAGAAAGAAAGTAGGAGGCAGAGAAGATGACGCTAAAGAGAAGGAGAAAGAGAAGACAGGCGGAAAAAGAACGTGCGAGGCGGGCTAAAAAAAGTGGGTTAGGAGGGAAAGGGGTGGGGTGGGGAGCGAGTATTGGATAGATTGAAATTACATGATAGGGAGTGGGTGAATTATATAACGAGCATTCCTTAAAAAACCCCAGTAGCTTTTCCAACCTCTAATCAAAGCTGTTCAACTTAACGCTGATCACCTCAGCACAAGTATCAGGATCGCCGACTCGAGCCAATCAATGCTTGTCGATAGATTTGTAATCAATCACGGCCTAACCTTGGGCTAGTCTTCTTTTCTTTTGACGTATTTCTTCCTGCTAGGAGCGCTGAAAATAATTTTATGTGTTTGACGAGAGAGTGCGCAGTGATGTTAGGCTCATTCAACCTACACCTACCCCCACCCACCCTTGCCCTCCCAACCATAGACAAAAAATACTCTCTCTTTCATCTTCATCCTTAACCCCTCCACCCCCTCCAAAAAATAGACACAAAAATTATCTCTCTTTCATCTTCATCCTTAACCCCCCTCTCACCCCCCACCCCCCAATCTGTTTTTTTTTTCCGAGTAGTTAAACCTCCTTATTCTCCCTTTTCAATCCCCCCATCCCCACTCCCATTTATCTCTCTTTTTCTCCACCTCCCCCCCTCTCTCTCTCTCTCTCTCTCTCTCTCTCTCTCTCTCTCTCTCTCTCTCTCTCTCTCT